GGAGGGAGGGCTTTTTAAATTTTCACCTAATAATAATATGTAGAGAGTAATATAAATTTAATATATAATAATATATATTTTATATGTGACTTTTTTTTCTTTTTGTAACAGTAGATCTGAAGATCAGATGCTAAGGGCGGAAGCTGTAGACAGTGGGGGAATACGCGTGTGAAGTGGAAGCAAATGTGGTAGATGTTTGAACTCCTGGAGCAGTTGTTGGGGGGTGTGGGCTGTGTGTCCTGCCCCCTTACCCTTAATTCAGGCTGTTGATCTCTAGCTGTCCTCCACCCAGGTTTTTTAAGCACACTTGTGTATGTGTGTTGGGGGGGAGATAAGGCAAAATGACAGCTGTTCGAGACCATGATTTTTCACTCCATTATCCTGCTCCCCACTTCCACCCCCTTGCCCCGGAGCATTTTTTAGATTCCCCTTTGGAGCCTGTTGCTTAATCAGCTAGAAGGGCTGCTGCCTCATTGTGTGAGAAACCCTTCTTAACCTGTCTCCTGCCTGTCCCAGAAGGGTGGAACCAAGTTTAGGCTTGGAACTGTGGTGTTGCAGAGCAGTAGCTGCTGTGCCTTGGTGTGGAGGTGACCCTTCTGGGGCTGTTGCCTGGCCTCTGCAGCTTGCTTGGCTGTGCTTGCCTCGGCTGGGAGTTGGATTCGAGTGGAAGTGCTCAGGGTTCACAGGCCTGGGCAAACATGGCCATGAAGGAAGGAGGTTTGAGAGCTGTCTTCCTGACAGTGGTGTGACGGGTTCCTGGGGACACAGACCTTTGATCGTTTATTGGAGTAGGAGTGTAAGCAAGTCAGATGTATGTTAATGTGGTTATACAGAACAGCAGGCAGCGGATGAAAATCATGTCTGTTTGCTGCGCCCTCACCCAGGTACGCCTGACTTCTGGTTCAGTTCCCAAGGCTCTGCCTACATTCCTTGTAGTAAGAAAGTCAGAAATAGCCACAGGGTTTTGTAGACTTTAGACACACAGGAACCCACATGCATAAGTAAATACTAGGTGAGGGGACTCCACCTCCAAGTGTTTTGTGTGTGGTTTCTGGTGACTGGAGCTCTGCTTTCAGGGTTCGAAATGTCCCCTGAATGCCTTGATAGGATTATTTCCCTGTATGTCTCCATAGCCCTTCCATTCCTCTTCCTGTAATCCCATCTCCTGGGGCAAGAGAAGTAGCTGTAGGTTTATAGTATGCCCAGAATGCTGTAGCTGGAATTATTTTTTTTTGTGCTTGTGTCTCACAAGGCCATTCCTCCCTCCTTTCCCTCAGTGATGCTTCCTTTCCAGCAGGCTCCAGCAAGGGAAAGTTCCTCTCACCTACTTGTGAAAACATGAATCATTCCTCACCTTTCCTGTCCTCAACAGGCTCTGTGCCTGCATTTTATACGCTAATAATGTGGCATTGCATAAATTAGGAGTGTGGCAAATCGCTCTAAAAGAAGACATGTTGGCTGTCTTGGAAAGAGCTGTGGTTCCTAGAATAAGTTGGTGGCCATGGAAGGGGCAAGGAACAAGGAAAAGGGGGCTGTTAACAGGGGAACTACTGGAACTGTATTTGGCCCAAAGTGTTTGCAGCAGAAATTGAGGTTGGCAGGGAGAACAAGCTCTGTGGCTGTGGTCCTTCTACCTGGTTGGTTTTCTGTGGAAGGTGAGTAGGCTAAGCCTGGGCATGTTGATGGGGTATAGCAGGTCAAATGGTTAGCTAATCACCTCGGGTAAAGGGCTGAGGAAAGAAAGGCCTGAGCTGCTAAAAAGAAACAGCTGGCACACCTAGGTAGGCAACAGAGACAGAGAGGCTCAGGTAGACCAAAGGAGACTGATCCCATCAGCAGAAGCGTGTGGAGATAAGCAAGCGGTGGTCCTAGTCAGTGCGCGCCTCACAAGGTTCAGTTCGGCTCAGAGATGTCTCCTACCTGTGCCAACCACACCTAGGGGTGATGGAATTGCCTTGCTCCTTGCAGTCTGTTTGTCTCTCCAGCTTTTGGGTCCTATACTTCACTGTCACTGAGGTGCTGGTCTTGGGCTGAGCCAGACAGTGCTCCTTTTCATAGGGTTTACGATGCCTGTCCGTTCTGGTGCCTCACGTGGTTATCACTGCCCAGGTGCCAGGTCCTGTAGGTTACAAGGAGCAGTACCATCTCTCTTCATGGCAGTGTGAAGTGCTCACCCACTGAAACCTCCTTAGGAGGAATTTCCTCCCCCCTGCCCAGTCTCTGGACAAAATGGTGGGGAGGAGGTTCAGTCCTTTTTCATTCCCATAATGAAAATGTGGAAAACATTCTCGAAAGGGTTGTGTTCCTGCAGTGTTTCTAGCTCACGCTGTCCCTGGACATCCAGGAGATAGGGAGAGGGGATAGAGGCTGTGTAGAAAGGCAAGTGTTTCAAGATTAAAAACTGTACCCAGCCTCTGTAGTCTTACATGATTCACTTCCTGTTTTTGCTCTGACGCTGTGCTTTTCTGTCCTTCTTTTCTCAGCACAACTGAACCATGGAGCTTCGAGTGGGGAACAAATACCGACTGGGCAGAAAGATTGGCAGCGGTTCGTTTGGAGACATATACCTAGGTGAGTGTGAGTCTCTATCCTTCCACTTGCAAGGGTGTTTTTCTCAGTTGTGTCACTGTTCTGGAGTTGTTTTTCTTGCCTGGTGATATCTGTGGGCATTGTGTAAGTTTGGAGGTGGTGGAGAGGAAGAGAGCTTCAAGGAACGCTGCTAGTTGTTGTGAGTCTTCTGATGGAAAAGAAAGTGGTATGAGGTCAACTTTGCATCGCAGATATTGAAGACACAGTGGTGCTTGATCAGATTGATTTAGATTGGGGCTATTCCAGGCATATTTGTCATACACCCTGCTCCAGTTTTTGCCTTCTTTTATTGAACTTGGGTGTATGTGGGTATAAACTCTGCAAAAAGTGGGTGATGGAAAGGGAGAAGATGGCTGTTCTTTCAGGGTAGAAGGAATAAAGTTTTGGGAAAATTGGTAATGGAAGAGGTGGTGCAGCACCTGTGAGAGAGGTCTGAGACCAGGAGGTGTAAAACAGGTCAAAGAGACTGGCCTGGTTAAAGTCCTGAGGCCCAGATCTGTTAGATCTGTAATGGGATTTAGAGTTAATGTCTGGAATGACCTGTGCTGGGAGCTCAATGGACAGAGCCCATGAGATGCTCAGTTTCCTTTTACCACGGCAGGTCACCTGGGGAGAAGTTCTTCCAAGCCAGCATGCTGATGTGTAGATATCTTTCCCGATGCTTTGCCTGCTCATGTTTTTATTGGCTCAAAGGCCAGTAGTGAGACTACACAGTAGCTTGATCAATCGCTCCATGAGAGCTGGTGTGACTTTACCTATCGTCTAGTTCTTAACACTACCTGTTTAGCTGTAGTCCTTCAGGCCAGCAGAATGATTACCCTCTCCCTCCTTGGTGTTTGCACCTTTTGGGTACTTACAGGTGGTTGTCACGTGCTCCTTGACTGTTAATTTGTTCAGTTGAGTTGTATTTTGCTTCCGAGTACATCCACCACTCCTCACTCTTGCTGCTCCTCAAATTTTTCCCAGTTTGTCCATCTGCTGAGCAGCTTGGAGCCTACACAGCATTTGAGGTGTGGCGTTTCCAGTGCCTGGCAGTGAAGGGCTACCCTTCAGTGATCTGTAATGTGATGCCTCTTCATAGATTGCTTTGGGTCTCCTTGGCTTCCCCCATCACCAACACTGTATCGGGTTGCAGAATTTGCCTTAGTGCACTGTCAGCTGTATTGTAGGTTCAGCAACATCTTCCCATCTCTCCCTGAGTTTCTTTCATTGAATACCTCTAGTTCAGATTACTTTTCTCCATGTTTGTAAATCTCCTGTTTTCTACCTCTGGCTTTTATCTCCTGTTCCCTCTTGCTTTATTATTCTCTCTTGATTGGTGTTGGCAACCTCTCTTGATTAAGTATCCTGTGGGAATCACCAGTAACAGGCTTTGTTGCCACCTTTATCCAGAGCGTGAACAAAGATGATAAATAATGGATCTGAGATCCCAATTCCATTGTGTACTGCCTTTGCTGCAGCCTACTCCTGTATGCCCCTCCTATGTGGCCCTCCAGCCAGTTAGTGATGACAGTGCTTTTAATTTCCGGGTGCTAGGGATTGAGGGGTGATAGCCCACACACAGCATTTTCCACCTATGGTAGGACTTGAAGTTTTCCAGGCCCTCTCTAGGACAGTATAAATTGTCAGGATCTTGCAAAACATCTGGGGTATCTGTGGAGAAAGAAGGGAGGTACTCAGTAGAGAGGCCCAATACTGTGTTCCTCTGCACCATGTAACAGGTAGATCACCTGTGCAAAGGGGGTATGGAAGACAGGCTCTGGTGAAGGGGTTGTGCCCACCTTGCCTGTAACCAAACAACATGAGTCAGAGGAAGCCCCTGTGCCCAAGTGTGGTGACCACAGTGGGATGCCTCCAGCTGCCTAATTCAACCAAGTTACTTGAATGCAGTATCAAAGCCCTTGTGATGTTCATTGAGGTGCAAGCCAGTGTGTTTTGAAGCAGTGATAGCGAGACTTCTTGGAGCCTGGGTGACTCCCCAGCCTGGAGGGATTGGGATGGTGCGTCTGGAGCATGCTTGTGCTCATGCTATCCTCTCACGGTCTGCTCTGCAGACAGAGGGACTCATTCATTAGGACTTCTCTCTTGTGCCAGATTCACCTCACAGTTCTCTCACTTGTTAATGGTGTGGAGACAGAGCAGGGGCAGACAAGCCTTGTCTGTCTCTGAAGGTGAGCATGGGCTGCATGGTTTATGCCCAGCTTCTCTTTTTCAGGACATTAGTACCTTCACCTGCTCTATAACCAGTGGGTACTGAATACTGTGCTCTTTGGGATTTGTTTTGGGGTTTCCCTGTCAGAAGAAAACTCGAATTTGTACATGGGCAGACACAAAGGATGTGTTAATCCTCAGCTGGAGTTTAAAGCACAATGCCTTGCTTCCATGCCCTCTACCTTGGGGGTAGATGTACTAGGGGAGGTTTCCTCCCAGTGTGGGTTTGGGAGGGTGGAAAATGAGGTAGGGCTGCCCATGGGCCTTGGCTAGCCCATTTGCCTCTAAAAATGTTTACTCAGAAGAGCAAAACCCAGTTTGCAGAGGAATTGCAGAGACCTTCTGGAGGAGAGGTGCTTTGTCAGAGGTGTTGGCCAAGAGGCAGGGCTGGGTTGCTGGATGTGGTAGGAATCTGGTAGGAATCGTTGGGGCTGGGATGCAGTGGAGCTGACGCTGGGATGGTGGGGCAGACAAAGCATGCTGGGACCTGTGCTGGCTGGGGACAGTTCCCGGTGGCAGGCTCCTCCCTTGCTGGGAGGGGAGTGTCTTCTCTTTGTTTCCTGGCCTGTTAACTCTCTCTTGCCCTATCTGACTTCTTCCATCTGTTCCCAGCCCTCCATTCTTACTGTGCCAAGATGGTGAGAGGGGATCGGATGGTGGGAGAGCAGGGGGATGTGCCTGTTGGCTTGCAGGATGCGCAGGTAGGGCGGTGTTTGTTGTATCAGGCATGCAGCAAGGCTTCCACTCCGAAAAGATCCTGTTGAGCCGGTGACATCCTCTGTCCCCAGGGCCTTGTTTCAAACAGCTCGTGATGAATGAATTGAATTTGTGCAGCCCCCACAGCAGAGCGAGACTGGGGGTGGATGTTAGGAATTATCCCCAATCCTACATACGTCTCTTGAGTGGCTGAAGCTAGGCAGGCTCTGCTGCGTTTGTCTGAAGTGTGGTGCTTTCCAGTGTGGAGAGGGAGCGGAGAACTGTTGCTTTTGTACTTGTATCTTTAAAAAAGATGGTGGTTAAAGCGTGGAACAAAGGATTGGAGAGACTCCTGCTCATGAATTCCCTCCTCGATTGTGGTGGTCTTAGTCTGGGTAGATCTCTAGCCAAAAAATGGTAGAGGGAGCAACCTGAAGACATATGGGGGCTTGGGGAGGGGCGAGCTTAAAGTGTTCAGCTGATGACCCCCTCAGCAAAGAATAGCTCCTCATTAGGTCTGATTGGTCCTACTTTTGCTGTTCCAGGCCACATGGTTGTTTCTTCTTTTTCTGAGACGTAACACCTGTGTTGGAGCTATGGAGAGTGTGGGGCTGAAGGCCATGTTAATAATTTGAATGGCATATTCACATTTTGCAGAATCTAAGTTTTCTTGATGCTTACCCCTCCTTTCCCTGCTTTACATGCTCACAGATAACACTCCCTACCTGCAGACAGCCTAGTAGATGGGTGCATCATCATCATCTTCCTAAACATGCAGGGTGATACAGAGTTGAGAACTCATTTATCTTTCCACTGTTCAACTTCAGGGAGTAGGGTTCATTCAGAATGCTAATGCTACTGCTGCCAAAAGTCAGCAAGACTTATCATTGCATGTGTGTCAGCAGATGGACTGGGAGAGGGAAAAATTCCCCCAGGGAACAGACAAGGGAGCTGCTGCAGAGTATTTGGAGGAAAGTCTTCACAAAGGCAGGGGAAAGAGAGAAGGGAAGGAAGAGCTCTTATCTGTTTAGTTGTCCTGGGTGTTTCCATGCCAAATGAGGGCCAGTGTTTGAATACTAATTTAAAAGGTAGATACTAGTCCAGGGCCACATTCTTTCTGTGATCTGAGCCCCTTTTCCTGTTCTTTTCCTCCTTGCACTCCCAATGCTTTTAAGAAGGGTCCTGTGGTGGCGTGAAGGGAATGCACAGACTTACTTTGCTGGCCAGCACTTTTTTTTAAGTGGAAAATATTAGCATCTTTCCGAAGGTAACCATGGGACAAATGGCTTTAGTTCTCAGGATGGCTTTTTCCCTTTCTCTTCTCCTGGCTCTTGAGTAAAAACCCTTATTAAATTCATCCTATTGCTTCTCCTTCCTCTCCCTCAGAGCAACCTAAATAATTCCTCTCCCTCCTTAGTGTTTACAGCCTTCAAATATTTGCAGACTGTTGTCATGTTCCATTCTTCCTCCCCACCCTTCTTAGTTGTATCTCTTGTCTATGTTACATATTTAGCTCTTTTAATCTTTCTTAGTAAATCAATCCCTCTAGGCCCTGATCGTTTTTGTTCCTCTCTTACAAATTCCTAGCAGCTTGTATGTCTTGACGTGGCGCTGTAGTATCTAGATGACGTGTTTTTGCTAGCAGGCAATTCTTGACTAACTTTGTGTACAACCAGAACTCTTCAACAGGAGATGGATCTCATTAGGATCGGGGGTGTGTGTGTGTGGGTGTGTGTGTGTGCGAAGGGATCCAGTTGTGTGAACACTTCCTTTTCCTCTTTGGCCCCTGGCTGTGGAGGTGGTGTGTGAAAGAGGAATGGATGGGGAGATTTACCTGCAGCTGTTGTCGTGGACTCTGAAAATATTATCACACGGTTCAGGAGGCATGAATTAACCAGGCCTACCAAAACTAGCTATGGGGTATCTGTAAAACATCACCTTTGACTTCAGATCGTGTTTGGCATGCATGTTTTGGAGTAGTTTATTTTATGAGAGTGTTTGTAAGCTGCTCATGATGTGTAAGCTGGTCTCTGATGTGTGTTTGAGTGCAACTTTTTAATACTTCCGGATACAAGGAAGAGCTTGTGTCTGTGTGTGCGTGTGTGAGGCAAGCATGGGAGAGAGAAGCGAGCCTTGAGTGTAATTCCCGTGACCTATGTACAGATCTTCATTCTTTCCGTTTTAGGATGATGTGAAACATCTGGAATCCTCTGAGCTAGTACGAGCGAAAGACCAGCCTGTTCCTCCTTTGACAGTACACTTAGGGACCAGAGTGCTGGCTTTCATGGCTGGCAGCTCAGTTCTTTTCAGAAAGAAGCATGTGGGGTGGTGGGTTTGTATCACTAGCAATACCTTAAACAAAGGCATCTGAGTAGCCTAATTCAGTACCGGAAGCAGTTTATTTCTTCATCCTTCTAATTTAGGATATAGCAGATGTTTCTGTATTGGCAAGAGATAAAGGTATTAAAGCCCTAAGGACAGGGAGAAGCTGGAGATCTTGGGAATTGTCTGTATTGAGCAGGTCAGAAAAACCAGAGGTAGCTGGGAATGTTAGCAATGTCTCCTCCTGAACTAATTGGCTCTGTTGAAACCATGTACCTCAGGTAACCAGTAATTTTTTTCTGAAAGAGGTGCTCCATTTCACTGCCTGGGGGGCTGGCTTGGGTTCAAGGGCTAGGTACATGGTCAGGGACAGCTAAAACTTCCAATCGGTGTAGGTACTGCTGATACATACAGAATGATCTCCCAAAGTCTGGTGGGTTTTTTTTGAGATAACAAGGCAGTTAACACATTGTAGGACTGTTGTTCTAGCCTGGCTGCAGGATCAGAGATGGTTTCCTGTTCATGTGCCGCCTTCTCGACTTGCCTTTGTAAATGGCAGTGCTGGAAACTCAGTATGAAGTGGCTGAATCTCATTTCTGTCATAGAGAATAAATTTCAGGGCGAAACTGAAGGTTTTGGCATCTGTATGGGCCTTGTTAAAAGTGTTTAGCTTCAGTGGAAGCTTGCACAATCTTCATTTCACCCTCATTTCTGTGCAGGAGCCAATATTGCGACTGGTGAAGAGGTGGCCATCAAACTGGAATGTGTCAAAACCAAGCATCCCCAGCTCCACATTGAAAGCAAGTTCTACAAGATGATGCAGGGAGGAGGTGAGATGGGATGAAAGGATGGGGCTGGGGGAGTGGTTGAAGAAAGAAATTCTGTAGGGCCTTAGGAAGGAAACGATTTGGTGTTACATATGATTGTCTCAGCAGGGGATGCAGCAGTTTTCCTCTGTTCCATGGGCTTAATCTTTCTCTTTCTCCAGTGGGCATCCCCTCCATTAAGTGGTGCGGAGCAGAGGGGGACTATAATGTGATGGTGATGGAGCTCTTGGGGCCTAGCCTAGAAGATCTCTTCAACTTCTGTTCCCGCAAATTTAGTCTCAAGACGGTTCTGCTCCTGGCAGACCAGATGGTGAGTTTCCTCTGAAGCATTTGTGCCTACTCTCCTTTTCCATTCCTTCCCTCCCCCCCTCCCATCCCCTCTGCTCAAGAACTGTTATATCCAAGGCTCTTCTCATTTAGCAGCAAGTAGCTGCCAGGTTTCTATTTCTTGATGAAGCTGGGGGTTGGAACCTAGGCACTGCTGGTTTTTCTTGATCTGCATCCCTCCTTCCTTCCCCTGCTGCTCACCCTGTATTAGCACTGCATGCATAGGTGCTTTTGCCTGTGTGATGAACAACTGGCATCGCTACCTATCTTGGCTCAACTGCCTGCGCCCAGGGTTTTTTAGTTGTTCTGAACCCTCTCCTTTCCCAGCCTGGCTAAGTTTGAAAGTTGACTGGTGTCAGTAGCAAAGCTCAGAGTTTTAGTCTGTATGAACTTGTTTCTCATCCTTCCTTGTGATGCTAATGGTGACCTTCCCAGATTGAGACCTGGGCTGGTGTGCAGGGTTGAATCCCTCTCCATTCTCATTTCCAGATCCTTATGCTTCCAGAGGGTGTCTTTTTCCTTGGCTGTCATCTCTGATATCTGCAAAGTGTCCCTTTCCCTGCTTTGACACGCCAGTGTCTTGGACAGGGTACTTTTTTTAACAGATGTAGTTATGATAAGTTACCTTCTCACTTGTCTCACTACTTATTTATTTATTCCCCTGCTCCAGATCAGCCGTATTGAGTACATTCATTCCAAGAACTTCATCCACCGGGATGTGAAGCCAGACAACTTTCTTATGGGCCTCGGCAAAAAAGGCAACCTAGTATACATCATTGATTTTGGTTTGGCTAAGAAGTACCGAGATGCCCGGACCCACCAGCACATCCCTTACCGGGAAAACAAGAATCTGACTGGCACAGCCCGTTATGCCTCTATCAACACCCATCTGGGAATCGGTGAGCCTGCTGTTACCCCTTGGTGGGGTTTTCCAGGGGAGGTAGTGTGTCCCCAGAAGGAGGAGGGGGTTGGGTTCTGTGCCTGGCTCTGCTGCTGACCTGTGTTGAGATGGTGGGTAAACCACTTAACTCTGATGCCTGTGTTACCTCACCTGCCTTTTGTGGCACTCTGAGCTCCTGATATGTGTTTGTGCACTGCTTAGTACAGTGGGGCCCTATTTCAGCAGCAAGGCTGTGACCTCCCTGTCTTATCTGCTACTTAGTCTACCTTGCATAATTTTTGCAGGCTGATTAGATATGTCAAGGAGACATTCGAAGGCACTGAGCCTTTAGGGGTAGGTGCAATTGAAACCTCTCTGACTTGAGTGCCTTCATCAGTGATTATTCTGTAGCTGTCAGAGCTGGAGGATACAGGCTCACTGCAGTATGGTGGTACTCCTGTTAGCACTGAGGACCGGGATGGCCATGTGCTGGAAATGTACAAGAAGCTGAAATGAGGGGAGGCTTCCTACTGCCTGGACATACAGGTTTTGTGGTTGAGGATTCGCTCTCATGGGCCTTCAGAATATGTGCATTTCTGTGAACCACACTGTCGTGTTCACCACCGAGAGAAACTGAGGCAGCTTTAGGGAGATAGGGCTCTGCTTTTAGTGACGAGGACACTTTTTAGTGTCTAAAACTAGGCTGGGAAAGAGTGCTGAGAGATCAGCCAGGTCTTACACAGGTGATGGCCATCATCCTAGGTTTTGTAAAAACTTTGTGCAGGTTAGTACCCACCACACTTAAATCTTGTGAGGTCACCCGAACTCTTGTCCTGGGAATCAGCCCCTGATGCACAACACCTGGTTGCTCTGAGGAACAGAGGTGGAAACCTCTTGGAAGTTTTCTCTCTGTTCCCTGACCAGATACTTCTCTCCAGTGTGTGACCTGTTTCTCTGCTTGGGATAAACTTTTTCCACACTGTGAGAGTTTCTTAGTTACAGTAGGGCCCATTCTGAGCAGGCTGACTAGATTCTGCTACTGGTTGGCAAAGCTGAAGAGCAGAAACTGAAGTTGCCTTGCCTGTGGACTCAGGAAAGTAGCTCCTGTGCTTGCAGCTCAGTTTGTATCTCTGGGAGACCTTATTCTGAAATGTTTATGCTGGGAATTGGAAAATTGGAGCAAGGAACTCAAACCTTTTGAATTTAACAGCTTCCACAGGATTTTATGTCTTCATTCTTCCTAAGGAAAGCTTCCCATTCTCCCCTCTTGCAGACGGTTTTTCAGAAATCTGGAGTCAAGACTTGACCTGCAGAAAATAAAGCAGTTTCTCACTGTCTTTGTTGCTTAATAGTGTGTAAGGGTAGACTGAAAATGCTTTATTTATATCAAAATAGGGAGTGTTGTGTGTTGAGAGTGGGCTGTGATCTCCTGACCTCTTCCACGTAGTAAAAATAGTTCTCATAGAGTTTTCCGAGTTGGTCTTCTGTATTTTGGCTTGACCTGCTTATATATAACTGACTCTCCATTGAATTCTCAGTCAAGATTTCCAAGCCATGGTAACTGTCACAAGGAGACATGCAAAAAATAATTCTCACTACTATGTCTGTCGATTCTTTTGTGTATGCTTGCTCTGTCTGAACTGATCATGAGAGGCTAAATGTCTGGTTATGGGGTTGGTTGATTTTTTTTTTGAAGGACTTTGTTATTCATCCCACCCTAACTTAGCCCTTTACTACTGGTGTTTGGTTTGTGTTTCAGGATGAACAAACAATGTCTGAACACTAATCCAAGGGCAAATTGCATATGCCATCGGTCTGAGCACAGCCATTGCTTTCTTCATGCCCTTTGCTTTGGGAAAGTCTGGGTGCGAGTTACTGTGTGCAACAGGTCTTGGGTGTATTATCTCCACGTTGTAGATAGTTCCCCTGAATGGCATAAAGGTTACATGACTTGCCCAGAGGAAAGGGGATGGGGGTGTCAGACCTACAGCTGAAGTTCCTGTTTCTCAAGACCTTGCCACAGGGTGTATGACAGACACGTTTGTGAGTTAGCAGCATTGCTATGGGAACTGTCACTCTGAATTTTTTTCACTTTTCAGAGACTAAATTCTCTGTCTTAATGTTACATTAATGCAGTTTAGGGAGAGGGAAGGAACCAGGTGCTGGAGTATTTGTGTGACGGGAATAGCAAATGAATAAACGCCTTTATTTGAATGTGCAAGCTAAGGGTTGGGCATTCCAGTGTCTGGAGGAAACACATTCTTTTCTCAGTGACCGGGTGAAAAAGCAGGAGGCGAGATTGGGGAGGATTTCCACAGCTGGAGACTTGCTGTTGGGGGAGTCATTGGACTGTGCAGGCTTTGGTTCACGCATTCCAGTCAATTTTCACATGCTCTGGAGAGGAGAGTCCCTTGCACCCTCTGGGGCTTTTAAAGTCTGAAATAGATGCCCAGGGGTGCCCAGGAGACAGTCTTGGAAGAAGCCTGGTGGGCTCTGTCTGGATCACAGGAGTCGGGGGCAGTTCTTCTCCAAATGCATGTCCTGTCTGGCATCAGTGTAGGCTGTGCAGAGCATAAAGTTCTTAGGTTCATCCTGCCCTCTATCACCCATTGCAGGTTGTTGTGTGTTTTTAAAGACTGTTGCCATGCAGTGGGGAGAGGAAGGGGAAGTGTAGTCCCAGCATGTGCAAAATCAGATCTGAGTATGTAGTTGGGAAAACATTGGTTGGTTAAGACTGCTTGCAGCTGAGTGGGACCCAGTCAAGACAGCTGATTTCTGGGGAGTCCTGCATAGGAAAGCATCACTTTGGATAGGGTTGGGGGGAAGCACTGTCCTTGGGGACCAGGAGGCACTTTACACTGCAAAGAAACAAGTTTTGTCACAAAACTTACATCCAAGGCAACCAGTCCTCGGTCTTCTGTCTTTGTCCAAGTGTGTCTTCCCCAGGTGGCTCACCATCCTGCTACTCACCCCTGACTCAGCTTCTTCTGAGGACCCTGCTTTGAGAAGGGCGTGAGGGTGTGGGCTGGCTGGGAGCCTCCCTGAGAACGGGAGGGAACTGGCACCAGATCACTTGCAGAGTGGGTTAGGTTTGAGAGGTCATGCTGGGTTGCGTGGGAAGGCAACCTTGTATTTTATGTTGAAAGGGGTTTTGTGAGAGAGGGAGGAAAGGATGAGTGTCTTGTAAAAGTAGCAGTCCCTCATCTATTGTAGGAATTGAGAAGCTGAAATAAAATGGAGAGAGGAAGCGTGATGTGGTGTCACAGGTCATGACTGTAATCCTGCTTTTGGACTGGCTTGCTCTAGGCACGCATTCATGTCACTTGTGTTTCTCTTCTCAAACTGTAAAGTGAGATCTTTTGCCTGCGTCCCAGGCATGCTGTGAGAATTAGTCAATGATTGTCAGGCTTCTAAAAGAGGAAAGGAGTGATGTTGTATAATATTTCTTTGGTGTGTAGAGGTGAACTTTTTTTCTCATTACACACTCCACTTTTTCTGTCTAATGTTATTTAGTATCCTATGGCTGTTGGTATATGAGGCCAGGAAATAAAAAATAAAAAATTGGGGATATGTAATAGTAGCTGAAGATGAAACAAAGAAATGGGATGTAGGAACTTTTGTTCTTCATTATCCAAGGTTTAATTCAGGATCTTGTAATGAGGTTTACAGGTGAAAGATGGCTACAATGTTTTGAGGTAGCTTGACAACTGGGACCCATCATGTTGGTACTTCAGGTTCCTCATGGGTTTGAATCTCACTGAAATTAAGTTTAAGTGGGCTACAGTGGCCACATGTACCTGAGAAATAAATGATACTTCAGGGATGCGACACAATCAGACATTTATAATTCAGCATTTTAATAATTGGGTGTCCTGCTTACAGTTATTTTTCCTTGATCATATTGCTGTGTTAAGGCATGGTTAAGGTGTGTTTACATGCATGTAATGGATGCTAGCGAGCTGCCCAGTTGGGTTTTGTAACCCCTTTCCTTGCCTCCAGTAAGGACATGTAGTATCTCCCACTGACTTCAGTCTCCCTAGCCTCAGGTCTCAAATCATGGCCTCCCCCAAAATCTAGGACTGTGTCTAGACATACGGTTGTGGAACATCTCCTGTTATTCTGGATGTGGTCAGTGGCTGTGCTCAAAGCTGCTGTGCTCCATGAAAATGGAGGTACATGTGGTCCAGCCTGCCTTTGCAGTGTGGAGTTCAGGCAAGATTTTGGAGGCAAGATCCTTGTTTATTTCTAAAAGGCTGATTTGTCTGTTCAGTAGATTTCTCTGGTTCCTGCCTGCCTTTCCCAACTCCTCTGAGGGGCACCTCTGTGCTCCAGACAGGAAATCCACAGTTACAGGCTTTAAAGCTACATCATGGATAAGTTGAGGGCTGGCAAGTTGCAGGATTGAGGTTACCTTCTCACCTGTGCTTTCAGGCCCTGGATGTGTGTTCTCACTCCCATTTCCACAGTCTTCCTGTCTCAGGATGTAGGTCATTATCAAACAGTGTTTAGTTTTACTTATTTGGTATGCACAGTATATAATTGCAGCCTTCTGAGAGTAGTGTATCCCAGCCCTAGGCTAAATGCAGAACTGTGGGTTTCTTTTCTCCCTTCATAAACCTAAGCATCTCCTAGCCACTCATGTAGTTATCTTTGGCAGCAGCCTGATAAGATTAGGGAGTATTAGCCCCTTTAAAGTGGGAACTTGAGGCAGTGAGTTATTTCTGCATGCTCTAAGAAAGATGCTTTGGGGAGCTGCATGTCTGCTTTCTCCTCTACTTCTGTCTTGGAACATGGCATTTTCGTGGCATCTCATGTGCTTTGAACCAAAGGCTCTCTTAGTTATGGAGTGATGACACCCTCTTTTTCTTCTGCAACCACAGTGGGTTTTTTTTCCCCTATTCTTAATTTGCCAAGCCTTCTAATCCTCAAAAACACTAGGTGACTGAGAGGCATGCAGGAGAAGAAAGGCCCATGGTGACTCACAGCTTGCGTTGGTACATCTGGACATCTCTATCTGTGGCCTGCTACAGCTACTCCTTCATCAGAGTTCAGTTCAGCTAGTAGAGTAAGAGGTAGCTGTAATAATCTACTAGCCTTTGGATGGGACAGGTAGTAGCATGTAACTGATACTGAAAATTAACCCATGGACCAGTACATAATCTGCAGCGTCTTACAGAACATGGCACTGAATCTGGTAAAATGTGCTGTAGTAGTAAATTAATCTAAAAGGTGAATCTCTAGTCTTCCCTCTACCCGTGCTCTCCCTCAAGCCACATTTTACCACTCTGTTACTGATGCAAGTTGTTCTTCTCTTCAAGATGTATTTTCTTCAGTGTTTATTTTATTTTATTTGGGAGGGGGAACAAGGGCAAAATCTTCTTGGCAAAATCTATAAATGAATTTGTAAGCATGTTGGAGGAGTTTCAGAAGTTAACCAGTCAGCACTTTCAGTTGCTGAGATTCTGGATCAACTCCATCATGAGCTAACTTATGACTTAAAATGGCTTGGCCATTCCAGTGAGTAAGTTCAATGTAAAATGTTTTTGTTGGGGAAAACAGCGTTGTTTTTTTCATAAATAAGCATCTAAAAGCCAGCCTTTACAGTGGCACGTTAAGGGCAACCCTTGCTCTGAGTAGAGTTGGTAGTGATGCCAGTTACACAGTCATTCCCCATTTGGAGGGGAACCTTTTATTCAAACTATACCTCTGTATTCATGCCTATTTCCTCCACAGCTTGAAAATGCCACCAATCCAGAAAGATCTTTGCATGGTATTACATGTTAGGCTTCTCTGAACTATCAACAAAGTCATTTATCACAAGAAGGAGTTGCTAGTTCCTTGTTTTTGCCCTGTGTAGAGAGTATCAGCAGGTTAATTAGAAGATATGTTCAGAAGGGTTGTGTTGGACTTACCTCTGTTAGCTTTGTCTTTCCCTGACTACCTCTGCCATGACTAATCCTCAGGGTGAATTATCATTCTGGGTGGAGAAGTGTAGGTGCCCTTCCTCTGGGACTGGGAAGAGCAAAGTAGGCAGTGTCACTGCAGCACTTCTTGAGCTGTTGAATTCTTGTGTGAATTAAGGCTTGTCCAAGTGAGGAGGTAGTCATTCATTTATGAAGTGGGTTGGGTTCTATGGGGAGAGAAGCACTTCAGCTCTTGCAGTATGAACATCCCTGCAGGAATTTGTACTGGAATGTCTTCTACAACTTTGTCCATCCATAGAAATCTACCAAAGAAGAGGGAGGGCTTGTTTCTTCTCTTCCGTGTTCATCTCCAGAGCTGTGTGATTGCCAAAGCAGTTTTGGTTGCTGCTCACTCCTTATCCCTTTGTTACTTCTTCCCACAGAACAAAGTCGTCGTGATGACCTGGAGAGCCTGGGCTACGTGCTCATGTATTTCAACCTGGGCTCACTGCCCTGGCAGGGCCTCAAGGCTGCCACCAAGCGCCAAAAGTATGAGAGGATCAGCGAGAAAAAGATGTCAACGCCCATTGAAGTGCTCTGCAAAGGGTACCCTTGTAAGTGCTCTCATCTTGATGGCTCTCTTGTCTGGTGCATGGCTTGCTCTCCTGCTGAAACGCCATGGAGACTTGAGTCCTGAAGGGCAATGCCCAGTACCTCCAGACCAGGATGTGCTGCTGACACCAGTGATGAGAATGATTAAGAGGCTGGTGGTGATACAGTTCTGGTTCAGAAGTGGGAAATGCAGATGTTTTTATGGAGAGTCAAGCCTTGTGTTAGTAAGAAAATGGCGGTGCTGAAAGGGACCTTTAGGACCTCAGAAAGAGCCTGGAAGAGGGATCAGCAGTGAGGTGAGGGATTGTGCTGATGATCCTGAGTTGTTCTGGGTAATAAGGATGAAGGCTAACTGTGATGGATCCCAGAAATAACCAGACAATGAAGTGGCAAATGCACTTCTTTGTAAGTAAATGTGAAGTAATGTATGTGAGGGGAGAGTAGAAGGCTTGATCCTCATGTCAGATACAGAGTAGTAGGCTCTGAGCTGACCAGTGCCCCACTCATCAGTGAGCTGTTGCAGCTACAATAGATGGTTCTGTGAAAGTATCGACTTTGTGCTTAGTGGCTATTGAGGAAAGCAGGTCAGATGTTAAGAATTACTAGGAAAGAAAAGAAGCCCCAACAGTGTGCATAAACCCATGGCCCACTCGCACCTTGTGTGCACTATGCAGCTCTGGTCCATCCTGCTATTTCAGAAAGGGTGCGACGAACTGGAAAAAGGTCCAGGAAAGGCCAAAAGGGTGAGGTGATGTCTATACAATTGGTGAGTTTGCTGGAATCTGGAAAAGAGGTGGTTAGAGAGATCATAAAAGTCTACATTCTTGCTATGCCTCCAGAAGTTTGGATTTGAGCTAATTATTTGGTGGCCCCAGTTCTTGTATTGGAAGATAAACAAAGCTGGTTCCAGCTAACTTCAAAACAAAACAGTGTGGTTCTTTGCACAGCCGGTAGTAGAGCTGTGGAACTCATTCCCAGAAGATATTGTGGATAGTTAAAGCTTAAAGGAGTTCAAGAAGAGATTGGGCAGCTCTGTGCAAGAGAGCTCTACTGAGGGTTTACTAAATAATTAGAAACCACATCCAGATCAGGAAGTTTCCCGAGTTGAAGGAGGTGGAAGCTGAGCTGATGTCAATGGTAGTGTCAGACATGCTTGCCCCAGACTTTTTCCTCTGTAGCTGTCTACTTCTGGCCACTGCTTAAGACAGGCTGCTGAGCTAGGAGGACCTCTGGTCTGAGCTGAGCCTTCCAAAACTCACATCCACCAGTTCTTTACACCTGCATTCTTAGTCTCCTTCAGAAGGCTCTGTGACTTGATACCTCTTGCTTGGAGAAGCAGCCAGAAGAGAGATGCCTGAGCATTTCCGAGACAGGACCTTCTCGGTGGCCAAAGCACTGCAATCAGCAGGCTCCGTTTTGGTTACACAGCTCTTGTGTTTGTGCCGTCCTGGTCCAGCATGCTGCTGCTGAAAGGCTGCAGTGGGACCAGGGGGGTTGGATGTTGTACAATTGCCAACTGTTCTCTGCTCCCTCCAGCTGAGTTCTCGACATACCTCAACTTCTGCCGCTCACTGAGATTTGATGATAAACCTGACTACTCGTACCTGCGGCAACTCTTCCGCAACCTCTTCCACCGCCAAGGCTTCTCCTACGACTATGTCTTTGACTGGAACATGCTTAAATTTGTGAGTCTGTGTGGCAGAAGGGCTGGAGGGACAGGGGTTGATTTGTATCATGGAGATGGAAAAATCATGGAAAAGAAGCAGAATTTTTTGGTGGTGCTAACTGGGGAAGGTATAGCTATGGTTGGCTATATTAGTGAGTGTGTCTGACATAGCATGTGTCAGTAGATCTTATAGGTAGGTAGAGATAATTTTTCAGGAGAGACCTATATTGGAGGCAGGACACAGATGTGGACTGCAGTAATAGCTGTAGTACCATACCCTTTCTTTCCTGTTTCTTCATGGAAGAGAATGAGGCCCTCTCTGGGTGGAGTGGAAGATGGTGGTTGGAGAACATGTTATGGGGATGGAGTTGTGCTTTCTTGGCATGATATACCATTGTGTGTTTTCTGTCTGGGGATGCTGTCTCTCCTGCCTGACAGCCGTGCACGACTTGGGGATTTTTCTCCTCAGGGAGCAGCCCGGAACCCTGAGGATATGGATCGGGAGCGGCGAGAGCACGAACGAGAAGAGAGGATGGGGCAGCTCCGGGGGTCAGCCACACGAGCGCTGCCCCCTGGCCCGCCTGCTGGAGCCACTGCCAACCGTCTTCGCAATGTCACTGAGCCCATGGCCTCCACCCCCGCCTCCCGAATCCAGCAGTCTGGTGAGTTGGGTGGGAGAGCTGGGGGAGTGTGCCATCCCTGTTGTTGGATGGAAGCCAGAAACTCTTGACTGATACTCTTGTTCCATGTTTCTCTGCCCCAACAGGAAACACGTCCCCCAGAGCAATCTCAAGAGTGGACAGGGAGCGAAAGGTCAGCATGAGGTTACACCGAGGGGCTCCTGCCAATGTCTCCTCATCTGACCTCACAGGACGGCAAGAAGTGTCACGGATTTCAGCATCACAGGTGAGTCCCAGCTGCAGTGTTTGTGGCCTTGGCCTGGATGTCCCAGATGGGCCCTGCACAGTGGATACTAACTTACCTGCTGGAGCTGACATGAGTCTGAAGCTTCTGGTGTGGTGAGGGAAGTGGTACCAGGTTACACCTTTGCTCTTCAGTTCCGTATTTTCTGGAGGTCATGCTCAGTACTGTCGTCTTAGCTCTGCTTTGTTGGAGTAAACCTTCATCTGGTTGTCTTCCAGACTGCAGTGGTTTGGAGAAGTGGAACTGTAAACTCTTGGGAGGAACGATATCCTGAGAGAAATGTGCAGCCTCTCTTGTGTCCTTCGTGCCTTTTTCTTTCTCTCCATCTCTTACTTACTCTCTCATTCCTTTTCTGTTGTAGACAAGTGTGCCATTTGATCACCTTGGGAAGTGAGGAGCAATTGCCACTGGACCAGTGTTTGCTTAGGTGAGCATGTCCTCGTGCCTGGGATCCCCCAAGGAAGGAATTGCTGCCATTAGGAATTAGATTAAGGCTTTAATGTTGCTGGGGGGGGATTGGTACATTTCCTTTCCCTTTCCCTTACTCTGGCTTTAGAGGGAAGAGTGAAGTTGGCCACCAGAACTTTGAGGGGATGGACTATCTTGGGTATGAAGGTAGCTTCCACTTCTCCAGGAGAGTAGGGAGGGTGGAGAAGGTGCTGGGCTGGGGAGCTGTTTCTGTGGTTCCTAATGAATGCTTTTCTGGCAGCATGATAGTGTTGGGGAGGAGGGTGCTGAGCATGTAATTGAGTGTGAGAATGCACAGTTAGCAAGTGCCTCTTGTGGAGGTAACGACTGTATCTGGACAGGGTAACTGAGGGGTGGCAGGAGTGTAGGAGAAAGGGCTGCTTTGTCTTGTTATGCTCCAGTTGGCTTTGGAAGAGCTGGGAATAGCCTTTTCTCCTCTAACACCTCTTCCCTTTTTCTCTCTTTAATAATTCTCTTTCTAGTGTCTTCACTGTATTTTTCTTTCAAAAAAACAAAAAACCCCAAAAAACAAACAAAAAAACCCAAAAAAGATGAAAAACAAACAAAAAAAAAACCTGACAGAATTTCTTTTTGCCAACAACGAGGAGTTGAGCCCCTGCACTGGTGTGAGCCGTTTCCGAAGGGGCCACCTTCATCCCCCAGCGCGAGCGCCTCCGAGAAGCTGACGACGTGGGAGCCATGCGGGAAGACCTCCGCTGCCTCCCCAGCCCCACCCTGGCCCTACCACTGCCCCCACTGGGCTACCCCCAGTTCCCTCTCCTGACTCTGCTCCTGGTTTATCTTTTTTTTTTTTTTTTTTTTTTTTTTTTTTCTTCTTCTTTGATATCTTCTCCTGCTTTGTTTTTTTTTTTAACTATTATTTTCAAATCATACAGTTTCTAGCCATATAAATTTTAATTTTGCTCTCTTTTTCTTCTGAGGGCAGGAGATGGGGTGTGGGGTGTGTGGGGTTTTTTTGTTTTTTTCAGGAGCCTTGTGGGCCAGGAGGGAATCAGATTCCAGCCACAGTTGATGGTAGAAGTCTGATTTTTATTATTATAACAGAATTTATTTTCTCAAGCATTAAATAAATTTGAAGCTGTGAGGGGAATTGTGGCGACAGCCTAATAATTGACTTGGACTTCCTTTCCTTGGGTGGCTTCTCTGTGTTGCTTTTTTTTCGGCTGTTGGGTGAAGTGCCAGACTTCCCTGATCTGAGTGGTCCTCACGCACCAAGGGATCTTTATGGAGAGGCACCTGGTCCCGTGGAGGATGGGAAGGCTGAAACTGAAATACAGGGAGAAATACACTTCCCATCCATGCAGCAGGGTCTCTTTTTTTATCTGGCTGTGCGTGTTTTTCTATTTCTTTTTTTTTTTTTTTAATTAAAACTTGTTTTAATTTCTGCGGAGAGAGTGTGGGACTTGAGGAGAAGAGAGGGGTGCACAGAAACTGGAGTTTGGTGTTCTTTCAGAGCAATGGCTCTTGTTCTCTCCTTCCTTCATGCAACCCCAAGTAAGATCCACCATACATGCACAATCCCTTCCTGCCCTCTCCCACCCATGTCCCCCCCCCTTCCCCCCACTTTAGTTGTTTTTAAATACAATTTAGGAATACTCAAGCTGCTTTGTGGCACTTGGGGCTTTGAAACACAGTGATCACCACTGCGACCTATGGCCTGTAGCAGACACACTGTCACTGTAGTGTGGAGCCGATGGGTTGTTGGCAGGGCGGGGAGGGTGG